GTGTCCTCGCCCAAGCGCTTCGCGTTTCCGCTGCGCGGCGAACACCCTAAGCTCCCGCTTCTCCTCCTCGGTCAGCCCGCTGCAGTACCGTGCCTCGTTGTCGTGCGGTGGGAGTTGTTGCAGCAGTTGCTTCACCCGTTCCCGCTCGCCGGCGCTGCCCGCGTACGGGATCTTGTCTTCCGGTAGTGCACTGAAGTACAGGTGTACCTGTGACACATGGCGCGAGAAAATGGTAATTAAGAGCAACATGCTGTGAGGTATTAGGAGATTTTCTGGGGGATCATGGGATATGGCGTTTTCGATGAGAAAGCGCGATAAATTTGAAAGCTGAATAAAGAGGATTCTTTTTTTTGACATACTAAGTGAGTACTTAAATCTTTTTTTTTTTTTTTAATTCTTAGAAATTATAGATTTGAAAATTTATGAAAATTGTAGAAATGATATTATTATATATTTTAGAAAGAGAATTGGAAGAGGAAGTATTTTTGATAGATATTGAACTTTGATATTACAATGTGTTTCATAAGTTTCTTTTTTATGAAATAAAATTTTTATAAATAAATTCTTTTTTTATATTACAGCTTTTTTATCATATATTACAAAATTCTTATTATTATTTATGCAATATAAAATATATTACAAGAATCTTTACATTAGTAATAATCTTTCTTTGTGAGATGAAGATTTGTTTGATAAAAAGTATTTATGTATAATGAGAGAGGATTACTGGCAATAAATCAGATATTTTATTACATAATATATAATACTAAGTAATAATAATATAAGAATAATATAAAAATAATTAGGTTGAAGTTCTTTTAGAAAATTCTATCAATATAAATATATCAATGTAAAATTATTATTAATATCTATATCTATAATATTAATTTTCAATTATATAATAACAAATTTCAATATAAAAATGAAAAAAATAATATCAAATTTTTATAAAAATAATATATATGAAAATTTATATATAATTTATTAGTATACACATGTGTTTAAATATATGTATATTTTGATATAGGTTTGAAACTACTACATAGCTCTTAGATTAGATTATGTGATACGAAAATGCATTATATGATGAGATTTAATCTATATTTATAATATATTTAATCTGTGTTTTTATCACAATAGAAGGAAAAATGGAATAAATAAAATTTAACTATAAAATGTTTGATATTAATTGTGAAAAAAAAAAAATAATAAAAATAAGAATAATTTAATCATTTTTTAATAATAATCATAGTAAGTTTTACGAGGTTAGTCAAAAAGGCTAAAAGATTTAGATATATATCATGATGCTCGATATTCATCATTCATGAATAATTCAGAAATGAAATGCTTACAGTTACACGAGACACGTGACGGTCTCCTCCCTTGAACAAAACATTAGTACAATAGTCTGTAATAATGTTTTATTTCACTTATGGGATCGATATAACTCGAATCATTTTTGACTTATATTCTGGTAACATCTTTTGATGTTTTTATTCAATAAAAAAATTAATATAAATAGAAGTAAAACAGGAAAGAATAATGAATCTATAATTTATATAGTATATGAATAGTGGTATAGTGAAAAAGCATTTAATTTTATGATTATTTGACAACAAATAATCTCATAAATTTAAATTTGACATTTTAGAAATGAAATTATATTAAAATTTTATTATTTATCATTTAAAAATTCATATTTTATCATTTATTATTGCATGATAATGATTAATGATTTAATGATAATTAAGAATTATTTTAGATAAAAAAAATGAATAGATAGAATGCCCAAAATTTGTTTAAAGAAATAAAAAAGAAAACTACTATTTTGATAAAGTAAAAATTTGATTTTAATTTATATTCATCTAAGATTTTGTAAATGTGTTTCTTTTTTTAATATTAATAATATTATTTTTTAATTTATGCATATACAATTTGCAATATATGAGTAAATTTTTAACATATAGCATAGCTAATAAAATCATGAACAGCAATGCACAAATCTAATATTAATTTAATTTTCTTGATTTAATTTAAAAAAAAAAAAAAAATGAAGATATTTCAAATTAAAAATAAGCGAAGTATGTTTTTAAAAGTGAAGAACAAGAAGATAAAATCGATTACATCAAAGGAACATCAATATGTCAGTATTCTAAGCGTGTCAAATAAGTTATTTTCTTACTTGATCTGGCCTGAGACCTGGCGGGACCCACGTGTACTCTTCGAGGGCGCATCCGCTGTCATCGTCGCTCTGAGAATGCCTCTGATGATGCATCAGGGCCTCCTGAAGGGCGAGGCCCGGCGGAGCCGGTTGCACAGGACTTTTGAAGGGTTCCTGATGAGAAGAACCGGCGGCCCCACTTTGGAAAGCCATGGCCATGGCCATCGGCGGACCAGGACCGAGGCCGAGTCCCGAGGGACCACCCGCCTCCGTCGAAGTCCGCTGATGTTCCTCCCTGGGACACCTGCAGCTTCTGCACACCTTTCTGAAATCAGAATTCTGAATTAAAGTTAAGCGGTCTACAAATAACGAGATCATTGATCCTTTTTTCTTTAATTAAAAATAAGTTGATGATGTCTGATTTTTGGATCGAATCGAAAGTCTCAAAAAGTTTTTTAGCTTGTAAAAAATTAAATTTTTAGACTTTATTTTTTATCCATGTAATGGATTAGAAATTATAAAATTAATTTGAAGTTTAAAAAATTTAAATATGTATTTTTTTTAAAATTATATTATTTTTATGAAATAATTTGAGAGTAATAATTGTTAATGAATAATAATTAGAATGTTATAATTATTAAAACATGATAACAGTTTTAGATAAAAAAACAATATATAAACAGTATACTTTTTAGTGTTATTCAAGTTATTCCTAATAAATTTGCCAAATCTATATTTATTATAGTAAAGTAACTTTATCATTATGAAGATTATAATAAATTTAATTTATTTTTACATAAAATTCCAAATTTTTATATTTTATTATAATATTTTATTGTAATTATATATTATATATATTTTATAGTGTACTAAATTTATTACAGTAGATTATATTAATTTTATAATTTTATTTTATACATATGAAACTATATAATTGATTGATAATGATAGATGTTATTATTTAATTATTATATAAGTTATTATATTAAAAGTTTGCATTATTATTACTTTTTTACAAGAAGGATGATTAATAAAATTTTTTAAAATGTTCTAAAATAAAAATAGCGCATTGATCTTAAGATGATAACGCAGAAAATCAAAATTAAGAAAATATTAACCAATATAAAATATTAATTAATTATGATCATTAGTATAATTCATAAAATTAATTAACATATGCATAATATATAATTTATTAATATAATATATAATATATAGATTTGCTTATAAAAGTGCAAACTGAATCTAGGAAAGAATTTCAATTAAATCCATTTAATTGAAACATGAATGAATTTATACTAAAAATGAGATGTATATTACCATGAAAAAAATAATAACAAGAATGTGAATATTGAAAAAATTTTAATTGATTTTAAACTAATATGTAAAGTATTAAAATTTTTTTATATAGTATGCAATAACGAACTTATGGTAAAGCACGAGTTGCATATTAATGTAGCAACAAGTTCCAAGAACACATTCTTTTTCCAGAGGAAGTGATAAATTCGTTTCCCATCAATTCAAAGAAATGAAAAGATCTTGATTATATGTATACTCTTCAATTTTGATAAAAAAAAAAAAATGTATAATCGCATAAAATTAATATATCCTTTAATTTCAACTGAAAAATAAGAGAACTGAATGTAATAAAAAATAAGACACATGAAACATTAAAATCCTCTAATTTTAATTAAAAAAATAGAGAAAAAAATAAATGTAAGTAAAATTGAAATATTATTTTCCAACCAAAAATTAAATCCAACATCTAGTAATTTCAGACCAATATAAAATAATGTTGATTCAATTAAAAAAACACGAGCACATATATACACATATAGATAAAAAATTTATTTAATCCGTAAAAGAAAGAAGAGAAAGGAAAAAAAAAAAAGAACAAGCGTTAATTCACTTTCAAGTCGAAAAATACGCGTGTACAATTTAGGAGGTAGTTTATCATTAAGATGCATGATACGAGAGAAAGAGAAAGATTGCGAGAGATACCGTGACAAGAAAACCTATTTGCATGAAAGACGATGAATTGGCGGCGAGTGGTAAGCCTGATTATACAGTAACCAGCGGCAAAACATTTGTTTCCATCGAAATCCCATATAACTACTAGACAGCGAGATCTGAACAAGCTTGTATAAAAATCTTAATTTAAAAGCTAATTCATTTTAAGGACAAATGATGGAATGAAGGAACTCAATTTTCAATGAGAAAGTGTGAATTTTGTTTGGTAGATAATTATTCAAATATTATATACTTGTTTTTTTATTTTGAAAATTCATTTTTTCCATTCTGTTCAATTTTAAGATCAAATGAAATAAACTTTTCTTTCTTTCTAATATAATGATTATAATATTAAAATTAAATGATAGTAAATATGTAGATTATATTGATATTTTATTAGTATTATATTTTATTAGTATTATTTAATTTTAATGTAACAAATTTTAATAACGAATAATTTAAGTTTATATATATTCTATAAGAAATATTATAATCACTAATTCGTCATTAATTTACATATTTTAACACATTTATGATGTTTAAAACGTTTATAAAATGCTATTATACTTGTAGATATAAATAGATAATTTCACAATCATAACATATACTTTAAAGTAATGTACCATCAATAAATATCCAGAAGTATTTATTAAGTACCATTAAAAATCAAGAAATCTTTAAGATAAATCTCCAAAACATTTATGAAGTGTTACTATACATCTATAAATATAATGCATATATTATTATATATATATAT